AAAAAAAAAAAAAAAAAAAAAAAAAAAAAAAAAAAAAAAAAAAAAAATCAGCACTAGACACTCCCTTAGCTCATGTGGTCCATAAAATACAAGAAGAATATTTTCTAACAGGGCAAGAAATTTTTAAACAGGTTTTTAAAAACTAAGATTTCCCCAGCCCTCACCTCTGACCCACATATTTTAGTTCAGTAAGGGTTTGGACAACATTTCTTAAAACATAACTGGTTTAAGAAAACCTGTGTTTGCACGGTATTACACCGAAGCAGTTATCTCCTGATTATTTCCTGAGATCACTCTGGTTACCTAACAGAGCAATCTTGTTTCACCTTTTAGTATGGAAAATATTAATCCTGTATAAAAAGAGCCAACAGTACAATGAATTCCTACATATACATTCAATCTGGCTTCAGCAGTTATTAACTCATGATTAATATTTCATGTATTATACCTCCACCCATGCCCCCTATATATACTTTCAAGTAAACCCAACCATATCCATTAACCCAAATACTTCACTGTGTACCTCTTATATAAGGACTTAAAGCAATATCAGTATCATACACTGACAAAATTAAACAATCTGTTTTTAATCACCTATCCATGCAAAATAACTTGTTATGCTAGTGAAGCAATTACACTCAGCTAGGTTTTCCTGAATAAAGAGCAAGGATAGGCATAGCACAAATGTCTTCACTTGCTACATAGTTAGGGTATTAATTTCAAGTCCTTGCTTAGTGTCCATCATTGATAGGTTCTTGGAGATTGCTTTAAATGAAACGACACATTAACAAGACCATTTTTCCCCCCAGCTGTGTTTTAGTGACATGACATTGAGTTCATCTTGCTAGAAGTCCCAGTTTCCAAGAACCTATCAACAACATTAAGAGAAGACTTAATCTTTATGCTTTCGGTATCAAGAACACCTCAAAATATAAACCCTAGGCATGGGCCAATTAAGGGGAAAACAGATTAAGTTCAACAACTGGCCAAGGAAACTTATTTTTACCTTTCAATGCACTACATTCTTAGGTGGAAAACCCTGGGGGATCAGAGAGGCCAGTATCATGAGTCGCATGATAGAATCCTATTGCAGCCACTTAATGTAGATTTGTATATTAATATGGAAATATGCTCAAATATTAACAGTTCCAGATTGGTATCATACCATAGTACATTATAACAGAAGTTCCATTTAAAAATATCAAAACCTGTAAAGAGATTACCATAATGTTGATTTAAGTTTCCTCTGGGGTTACATACATTTCTAAGATTTCTGCAATGTACACGTATTGCTGTAATACATTTTAAAATATTTTCTTAGGTTGACAAAAGTAAAATTTGAAAATTGACAAATCAATCAACTCCCAAGAATACAAAAAGAAAAAGATCATATAGTTACTTCTAATTTGGAGCCCAATAGGTAGGGAAGTGTCAAGTCTAAAAAAAGGAAAAGTAATTTAAATTATTACAAATCAAGTAATGGAACATTTAAATACAACAGATGGGCAAGTAAGCCAATTAAGTAGGCCAAAATGCTTATTTAAACAAGTTCAGGCCCCACATGGTGGCTGACATCTGTAATCCCAGCATTTTGGGAGGTTGAGGCAGGCAGATCATTTGCGGTCAGGAGTTCAAGACCACCTGACCAATATGGTGAAACCCCATCTCTACTAAAAATACAAAAATTAGCCAGGCATGGTGCAACGCTCCTGTAGTCCCAGCTACTCAGGAGGCTGAGGCAGGAGAATCGCTTGAACCTAGGAGTTGGAGGTTGCATGAGCTAAGATTGCACCAGTGCACTCAGCCTGGGCAACAGAGAAAGACTGTCTCAAAAAAACAAAAACAAAAAGAACATGTTCTTTAGTTTAAAAAATAAACATGAAGCCAGGCGCGGTGGCTCACGCCTGTAATCCCAGCACTTAGGGAGGCTGAGGCAGGTTGATCACCTGAAGTCAGGCACTGGAGAACAGCCTAGCCAACATGGTGAAACCTGGTCTCTACTACATTTATGGCACCAGTGATGTCAAAAGATGACCCTATTATATTAAATAAGGACATTCCTAATATATTCTCTAATATACCAATGTGCAAAATTATGTCTGAATGGAAGAACATTATTTACTAATGTTGCTAAGAGCTATTCCTGATAGGATATATAACCTAATTAAGAACCGTTTTTAAACAATTATGTTAATAAACCTGCTATAGCATTCAACACTTCAGAACAAGTAGCCCAGAACTCACCTTTGTCAATATGAACTTCTAGGATCTTCTTCTCTCGAACTATCTTCCTTCCATTGCAGCTTTTACATCTATCTTTAGGACTGATCCGCTCCCCATGGCCCTGGCACTCCATGCACACAGACTGAATTTGCTGAACCATTCCAGGTCCTATCTGATGAATTCTTATTTGCATTCCAGTACCTCGGCAATTGGGACAGCACTCTACTGCTCCTTTCTTACCCCCTCTACCTAAATTTAAAAGAAAATTAAATAACGTATGAATTAGTAGTGTATACAGTAATAAGTGTTTTAGGAAGACAATGCCTAAATGCTGTACTTTTAATATTTTCAAGGTCTGATGGAATGCTACCCTCTGAATATACAACTGATGAGATCATTTTAATGAGATATGTTCTCCAATAAGTAACTTTTACTTATTAGAAAAAAGATACCGCCGGGCACAGTGGCTCAAGCCTGTAATCCCAGCACTTTGGGAGGCCGAGGCGGGTGGATCACGAGGTCAAGAGATCGAGACCATCCTGGTCAACACGGTGAAACCCCATCTCTACTAAAAATACAAAAAATTAGCTGGGCATGGTGGCGCGTGCCTGTAATCCCAGCTACTCAGGAGGCTGAGGCAGGAGAATTGCCTGAACCCAGGAGGCGGAGGTTGCGGTGAGCCGAGATGGCGCCATTGCACTCCAGCCTGGGTAACAAGAGCGAAACTCTGTCTCAAAAAAAAAAAAAAAAAAAAGATACCAAACTAGCTTGATCCCAGCTGTATTTAAAATATACACAGAAAAAAGTGCTGATATTTCTTTAGGTAGCAGGCTCAGTTCAGGTAGTTTTCTTCATATCTGCACTCCCCGAAAATCTAGATAGTATACATGTGTCAATTTTACATATCCAGGAAGTCTTAGCTCCTTTTTGAGGTGTCATATTAAAGATGTTAAAAAAACGAACACATCATACCTTCGCATTTGTCACAAATCACATTCTTTTGAAGAGCCAGTTTTCTTGTCGCACCATTGTATAAGTCTTCTAGGGTTACTGAGAGCTGATGTACAACATTTTTACCTAAAACAAAATATTTCTCATTACAAATCTGTTTAAGATGCTGGATATTATTTAT